CTCATGAAGATATATTATATGTATGTAATACTTACATTTAAAGTGAGAGTTTTACATAAAGTATGAAAATTGTAATCGACGTAGCCTTCAAACACGCTTCAATTCCTACTCGATGGTATTTTTCATTTCATAAAAAAAACGATTCACCTGAAGTATTCATACGATTTTTCAAAGGTAAAAAATAGAAATATTATTGCAATTTTTTACATGTGCATTGTACAGTAGAGCACACAATATGTCACGATGTGCTTAAATTGTCAGAGCTTTCTGTCGTCACTTGAAGTACCGTTGTTTACGCGATTTGTATTGGATTTATGTGCTGGAGTGTACAGTGAACATTTATTTTTCATCTCAATAGAAATTCTCTACATCCACACTGCTAATATAAGTTAAGCTTTATTTTACGAGAATGTATTGAGGATTCTTCTCTTAAATTAGCTGTGCTAATATGTGCGATTTTTGTAAAATCCCTACGTCCGGACCTTTTATGGTTACTTTTATTTACTACAAGCGACTCAACCTCGCTTCACTTGGGTTCGTCCCTAGCTTATTTCCCCATACAAACTTTACTTTTTCTACATTTTCTTCCCCTTAAGGGATGATTTCCGGGATTAAAACTATTCTATGTCCTTCACAGGGTGTCGAACTACCGTTTTACCAATTTTCATCTAAATCGGTTCAGTAGATCCAGAGATTACCCCCTACAACGCCACAAACTCACAAACCCACAAATTCATAAACTCACAAACTTTACCTCTTTATAATATTAATATAGATAAAGAAAATTACAAAATATATACTTAATTATATATACAAAACAAATGGTTACTTACATAATTACGAAGCATTAACAATAAATAAAACTTATTTTTTACTACCAAAACAAATCATCCTACGGGAACTTTACGTTTTTCCGGCATAAAAATATGTTATTCTGATATGTGAGCTATATTATTGTAAAATTTCATTAAAATACAGTATACAAATATAAAAAATTTCATTAACGTGATTCGAAAAATAAGCGGTGCAAAGTGTTTGGTCTGAGATGACATATATACATATATTATATTACACAAGTATGTGCGCAATCATAAGTGAACTTTCTATTCCCTTCACTTTTAAAGTCCGATGTCCAATAAGAGCATCTGTTGCACTACTGATAGCTTTACGTACTCTTCAAGGCATGAGATTCAAACACCACTATCTTTCTAACTCCGGGTTAATGCTAATCACTAGAAGAACGAGGCATTTTCCTTCTTAAATTTCTATTTATATTGCCAATGGGAAATTCCATTGGGTTCACCATAAATATTACATAAATGGACAAGTAAACCTATACTGGAGGAACATGAAGTTTATAGTTTGACCCTTACATACCATAAAATTTCTTAAATCTATATGCATGAGACCACCCTTTAGATAGGTTCACTATTGGAGAAAATATCGTGTAACATTCATACAAAAAACACACAGCTATTTTAAAATCGATCAATGATTCGGATTAAAAAGACTTTATAATATGAAAAAGCTTTGCATAGATTTATGAAATTGACAGAAAGTAAATTATAAGAAATACATATGTACGTATAACCATATTACACGTTTTGTTTTTATATCTTGGAAATTGAAGATGAAAAGGTTTCTTGTAGAAAATAGAATTACGTGGGCGCCAGAGTGCGCTAAGTTAAAAGTAAAAGCTGAAAACATGTATTACATTATTCATTTATATATTTGTGCCCTTCAAAGGAACGATTTTTCATAATAGTCTAAAGATATAATTTTATAAGGGCTAAGGGCTAGTGCTTTGAATCAGCAGAGCGAGGTTATTTATAGGACAAAATAAAAAATAATAATCTTACTATATTATACTGGTTCCATAGGTAGGGTACCTATATCTACCCCCCTTATGTGTGTTCACCTTTATATGGTGGTGGGGGAGGTGGTGGGAGTGGTCTTATTAGAGTCCGGCAACTCAGCCGGCCCACTCCGATGGGCGGTGTACAAAAAAGGTGTGTAAAAAAGGGTACCAATACGCTATGCTTAAGTGCGTTCTTAGATGCCTTTTACAACTTGATACATAAAAATCGTATTTTTTTCAATACAAACATTACACTCTATTGTTCGTGATAAAATTTATCAGAAGGCGGTGCTGATCGTTAACCAAAAGATAAATACATATTATAATATATACGAACGACTTACCATTGCTTCGCTTGGGTGCGCCCCTAGCTGCCTAACAGCAACCTATAGGCTATAAGTTACTTCAAGTGTACTAAAATTTCACCCAAATCCATCTCACATACAAACATACAAACATTTACATATCTTATAATAGTATCATCTAGGGTCTAATAATAGGGTCATCACTTAGTTATAGAAAAATTTTATCTGTTTATTGAAAAACTTAACGAAATAAAACAATATTTTCGAACTTATATTTATTTCAAAAAGTAATATTTCAAGCTCATCAACGATAAAGTATCACATTCAGTATATCACATATCACGGTTATTTTCATATTTTTTATTAACATGATTTACCTTATACCTACACCAAACACGCTTTTACGAGTACAACAAGTATTTTTATATGTCATAGATTTGAATAACATTTTTGAGTATTATTGCCTAACAAAATTTAACTTACTTTTTCACATTTTGCTTCATGTATTATTTAACTTTGTCAAATTCGAATAGGTCTTAGTAACTCATACCAGAGCTACTCGATGTACCTAACGGGACCAAAAGCGTTATAAATAAAACTATGTTTTCGATTTTTTTCGGGGATTTATTTTGATTTTTGGTTCGAGAAGTTTTGAATGCTTTACAGCAATCATGGTCAAGGGAGAGAGGTATTTAAAATGTCAAATATTCATGTAAATTTAAGAAATTATTATGGGATCAAAAGCAATCTAATTTCTATCAAGGCCATAAACAATCTATATAAACAATCAAGTCAAAAGGACACAAAAGCTTTTAGCTTTATAATTTGACACGGAAACTGAATATAATGAACTAGCAACTCACCCTCGCTCCACGTTTTAACGTTTAGTATAGATTTTTCAGCGATGAGATATTTTTCCGCGGTAAAAAGTATCCTATATGTTGACCCGGATAACCAGCTATCATCATACCAAATTTCATCAAAATTCACTAGGTCTATGATTATTCCTTAGTGTGAGTAGTCAAACTATAGAAATATATTTTAATAATTTTGAAAGTTAGCAATAGGAATTGAACTGTCTGTAAGAGATTTTGTATATATTTTTTTGTGTTAGAATAAGGACAGAATTGATCGTCATGTTTGCGAAAGACTTACTTTCATTTATTTGAAAATTCAATATACGATACGAGGTCAAGCTTTTGTTAACGTCAGCTGTTTCAAACGTTCTCTATACACAAAATTCAGTTGCATACACCATATTTGTGTACTTTTAAGCAGAAAATAGTTGATGAATAACTAGTTTTTAAAATGAATATGTAAAATAATGGTTGTAAAATAAGTTTTTAAAATATATCAAAGCACTGGGTCCCACATAAAATATATCAAATATATAATATACCAGCGACTCGCCCTAACTCCGCTCGGGTTCTTCCATAGCTTGATTTCCAATACAAATTTTCATCCCCATTTTCACCCTCTTAAGGGATGGTTTCCGGGATAAAATGTATCCTATGTCCTTTCCAGGATCTCAAACTATCTTCTTACCAAATTTCATCTAAATCGGTTCAATAGATCCAGAGATTACCCCCTACAACATCACAAACTCACAAACTTACAATCTCACAAACTCACAAACTTTACCCCTTTATAATAATAGTATAGATAAAATATATCATTGAGAATTAGATGAGTTTCGTTAAGGGGTTTAATTTAATGGGGTCACATTCCTTTACTTTTTAATTAACTATTTAATGACATATCATCAAAATGAGAATTCGTTATTCGTTTGTATTCAGCCCTTTTTAAAGTCCCACTACTGGGCAGGGGCCTCCCTTCAATACGAGGGAGATCAGGCAATAGTCCACCACGCTGGCCAAGTGCGGGTTGGCGGACTTCACATGTCTTTCGAATACTTGCTAAGTTTACTCAGACATGCAGGTTTCCTCACGATGTTTTCCTTCACCGTAAGGCAAGTGGTAATCATGTTAGAAATGATTCGCACATTGAAATATCAGAGGTGCGACCCGGGATTTGAACCCACTTCACTCGGTTTCCCAAGCGAGCGCGTTACCACTGGGCTACCACTGCCATAAATATTCGTATAAAATATAATTTTATCCACATTTTTAAGAGCGTTTATTTTAAGAGCGAGTAAAGATATATTTTTATTGGCATAATCTATACATATAATAAAATTCTGAGTCGAATCTATATATTGAATATTTTTTGGAAATCTATTGAAATAGTCACTATTGTCGATACAGAGCCCGAATCTATAGTTTTTAGAATTTTCGTCTCTCCGTCTGTGACCGCATCACAAGAAAACCACTGGACAGATTTTGATGAGGTATGATGATAGCTGGTTATCCGGTTCAACATATAGGATACTTTTTACTGCGGGAAAATATCTCATCTCTAAGAAATATATACTAAACGTTAAAGCGTAACTAGGGACGAACCCGAGCGGTGCAAGGGTGAGTCGCTAGTTTTAAATGAAACTACTTTTTCGGATTTTTTTGCAGATTTATTTTGATTTTTATTTTCCGACCTTTCGATTGTATTGCTGTAAAGCATTCGAAACGTCAGGAACCAAAAATCAAAATAAATCTGCGAAACAATACGAAAAAATAGTTTTATTTAAAAAAAAATTAAAATATTAAGACCCAATCTTACACAAGAAGACCGTTAGCGATTACTTAGCGGTGATGATGAAGGTACGATTAACTTACAATACATTTTTATTTATTTAGCCATTTTTAATATTTTTCTATTGTAAATTAGTTGTAAAAATAAAAATATTAGCATCTAAAATGTTAAGTACAAAAAAATATAATCTAGACAATTGCTTGTGTGTCCGGTGTAGAGCTTGTAAGGTTTAATAAATTTTCTTTAGCGTCTCGTTTATGCTGCTTGTAGAACCACCTGTAAATATGTATATATCATTTAAATAACAATTTCACTTATAAAATCTAACAAAAACTACGAAGTTTAAAAAGTACCACTAATATTTTGAATGTATATATAATCCTTGATTACTATCTTCATTTTTTAAATACTAGCATATCTTTTACATACGAACGTATACTCGCTACGTTCAAATGCTTCCCTAGGTATCTAGCAGTACTCATAGTATTAATCCAGGTCATAGTCTATCTGTATACTAAATTTCATCCTAATCCGTCCAGCCGTTTGTGCGTGAATGGGTAACAAACATACCCACATAAAGTTTTATAAAATCTATACTAATATTATAAATGTGAAAGTTTGTGAGTATATATGTTTGTTACTCTTTAACGCCAGAACGGCTGAACGAATCTCGATAAAATTTAGCACAGATATAGATTATTGTCTGAAACAATACATAAGCTACTTTTTATCTTGGAAAAATGTACGGTGCCCGTGGGATAGGTTTGTTTTTGTTTTACTAGAGGCGTATCCGAGCGAAGCGAAGGTGAGCCCCTGGTTTTTAATAATAATCCGAGATACATATATGTATGTTGCACTGGAAAATTTTACATAAATTTATTTTAAATTAATAAAAATATAAAGAAACCTAGGTCAGTTGATGTGACTAAATACGTAAACAATAAATTAAATGCATCTTACGGAAGCAACCTTTGTTTAGAAATTAAATTTGTCTCAAAGCAAGCTCTCATATCTCACAATGTAATGTACTTTAATATAGGAGTTATAATATTACACTATCTTTTCTTTATATCTTATCTATTATAACGTAAATAGCAAGTGAATATATGTATACTAACGATTAATTTCATTTATTTCTTCCCGACCGTGGCGACGTCCAAAGGAGGGTTATGTGTTTGACCTGTATGTATGTGTGTTTGTTTGTATGTCCGATCTTATGTTCCATTGCAATTACTTAATATATAATAATAGCAGATTAGAGGCGCCAATTTGTGTTTTGATAATAAAAAACCTTCCAAACTTATCAAGTGGTATATCAAAATGTAGGTATTTAAGAGACGATTACAATAATACGTATTAATTACTTATATGTCTAATAATAATTTATATAACAAATTGTTAAATAAAACTCCAAATGTAGAACTGGCGAAAACTAAAAAGATGTAAATAAAAAATTTAATTATATATACACGTAGCTGGACTCGTAGCAAGGATAAGATATGTCTCTGACTGTATAATACTATTTTCCTTCGTTACGCGAACTAAAAAGAAGCGAAACAAGACCCTTCTTTTGAGGTCGTTTTTTACACAGTTGGGATTTATTTTTTAATTTATTTTCATGAAAGTTTTATGAAAGAAACATAAAAAGACTAATTCAGTTATATCTAATATACTTTTTCATTTTACTTACATAAATATTACAAATGTCGGCAATGTGGCGAGTACACTGAGAAGAAAAACTGCGCCGGGCAATACGTGTAACGTCAAGATGTACACGCGAGAGTATAAAGGTGCGAAGAGAAGTGGCATCATCGTCTCCGCGAGGCCAAACAGAGAAAACACTTTACCTACAAGAACAAAAACAGAACCATAACATAACCAAATACAATCCGAATCTTTCATTTAAAGTTTCAGATAAGACCTTAAGCTAAAATAAGTTTGTAATTAATGTTTTCTGATACAGTTTATTTTTTAATATTTTCTTAGATTTACGCGAATATTTGACATTTTCAATAAAGCTATCTTTTCGGATTATTTCGCGGATTTATTTTTTGGTTCCCGATGTTTCGAATGCTTTACAGCAATCATGGTCACGGGTGAGATTTAGGTTAAAGACGTCTCAAAGGCGTTATGTACTTGTTACAGACAGTGCCTACCCACTTTATTTTTAATTAAATGAATAGTCAAACTTTGTTAAAAAATACACCTAACGAAACACGTACATTCTTGTATTTGTAAAGTAACATATCTATTGACTGGAAAAACTTCTTATACTTTAACTTTAGATTCAATACATATGTACATTTGTATATAAATAATAAATAAATTATTATGATATGACATGTTTAAAATGAAATGTTAAACTAACATGTCTGTGTTAATGTTTAACAAGTATGTGGATAAATTATATTATGAAAATAATCTATATTCTTATTATTATATTTACATTAATAAAAGATCCGCATGGAAATAAGTTGCATTTAACTTGTTCGTACTATACATATTTATAATATCGATTAAAATAATTTAAATATATACGTGATGGCATAATTTCAGCTATACGCCTATTCTGTAACAGTTCTTATCTTTGCCACTATACTAATATACTAATGTTCCTCAAACAGGAAAGGCAACGACGATCCATAGCCTAAGGAAGTGAACACGCGACCACTATGCTTATGATATTATTATATTTAATTACTAGCATAGCCCGCGGCTCCACCCGCGTTCAGATGATCGAAAACTACATTCTTACGTTTTACATATTGTTATACTCTTAAATTGCAGTTTTTGTATTTTTTTTTCTCAGAAATGAGATATTTTCCCGCGGTAAAAAGTATCCTGTATATTGGCCCGAATAACCAGCTATCACTATACCAAATTTCATCAAAAACCCTCCAGTGGTTTATATATATGCGGTATGGGAGGTAAACCATTTATTTATTAATAAACAATTATTGTGAATATTTTAATAAAACTTGTTAACATGAAATCGTGAATACTGAATTCGACGATATCGTTTAAAAAAATTGAAAATCAAGTTACTAATTCTTGTTACAAAAAGGAACTATGTAAGGAGTTATTATCATCTCCACATAATCCCATGAGGTCGATGAAGATGTCGACCTCATGGGAAGAGAAGGGCTAATGGCTAATTTTTTTTATATAAAAACCTCAAAAATCATTTTAAACTGTAATAAATAATAACCAGTGTTTTAATATTTATAAAATATATTTATTTACATAATATATCATTCATATTCATTATTATAATATATGTACATATTATATATATGTTTGATTAAACTTTAAACTACTTGGGTATAATGAATGCTTTATTTTTTTAACAATATTTATCAAATAAATATAATTTAAAGCTCTTAAAACGATAACCTTAGAGAAAAAAAATACGCTATCTTACTTAGATATTAATCGTCACTTCCTTTCCAGCAAGGATGTTCCGTTTAACATATATTTATAAAACATTTACACACCATAGCTAAAATCCTACATAATATGCTTTTTCTTACCAGAATAGTAAAATAAAGATGGAATCGAACCTATTCATTAAAAATGACGTACGAAAATCATTTGATAGTAATGTCGATATGGTTTTGACAGATTTTAATGAATTAAATGATGTAATTATAAAAATCGAAAATTTTCAAATGAAATAAGTCAAAATATGAATATACCTTATTATTTCTCAATTAACTATTAATATACGAATACGAATTCAAAAAATATATTATGTAAAAGACAATCTAAGTAAAATAGAGCCTTTAAATTAAGTACTTGAATATAAAATTAATATTAAAGAAACCATAAGAAGCTTATACCAATAAAGCAATTTTACATACCCAATTCTTGATGAGAAACCAATTTAGAGGCGATCGAACGGAGAGCGATGGTCGTTGTGCCGTTTAATATCTCTAAGAGTGGAGCTGAAAATAAGATTACTATAGCATTTGCTCGAGGTTTCGCTTGCACGTTAACATAATAAAAAAGCATATGTCATCAAAACTTCTATTTTCCAGTGATTTATTTTGATCTTCCACCTAATATAACACAGAATAAAATTATCTTGTTTATTAGAATGTATTGCGTCCGATAGCTCAACTCTACGTCATTAAAAAAAAATCTCGTTATCAATCAATCATATGTTCTATCTACAATTAAAACCTCTGTAAAAATCTGAGCATTTCTCACATAAATTTTTCATTTATACTTTCTGTTTTTTCGAAGCTATTTTTTTTATTTGCCTTTCTGTTTAAAATACTTCATTTGAACTTTTTAGTTTTCCATAAAAAAGGTTTTTCACCTATTTCCTATAACCCAAGTATAATCCTATCTTCAGATTTTAAACATCTTCCATATAATATTTAATCGAAACCTGCTAATTAATTAGTAAATTCATAAGAATCAAGCAAACAGAATTATGGACAGAATATATATATATATATATAAGTATAGTTTTGTCACATACCCATGTAAACTTCGATATTGTTTCGCGCAAAGGCGAGTACAAAAGAACCAGCAACTTTACTAGTTGCGGATATCATTCCCAACATAGCATCATCTACTCCTAACTTCTTACTAAATACACTTATGCAGAACATTGTACCTGTAATTTTTAGAAAAATATAATAAAATAAACATAAAACTTATTAGTATAACATATTATGATAAAAATACCATAAAAATACTTTAGGCGATCGCCACTGCGACCACGGTTGCTATAAAGATCTAAGTCACCCAATACCAACCAACTCCGTATAAAAACCGATTATGAAATGAAAAAAAATATGGAAAGATTCTGTAATTTGCCTTTATAGTTTCTAATTGTTTCTAATTAAATGTATGTTCAAATATAGTAAAATAAATGAAATCCTAATTCAATGTTATTTCTATACTAATGTTTAAAAAAAATACATGTCAACCAAAAACAATATAGAAAGAAACAAATGAAAAGAGACAAGCCATTGAACATTAGTTTTGCGTGGAGATATAATTTTCATATATTATTCGGTATTCATATAGATATAATATTCATATACTATTCATTTACTCTCTGTTTATAGAATACATTTATCTTCAAGATATTACGTGAGGTATTGTGTTATTGAAATACATAGTTATTAAAGAACAACCCCTCAGTTCGTAGTAAATAAGGGGATAAGCGAGTCGATGTACATCACTAGATGTATACTAGTGACGTGCTATATAAACAAACTCTATATAATATAGATATACATAGATATATATTCTCTCTATCATAAAAAAGACATATAATGTAAGCTTACCCAAAGAATGTGTGATGAGATTGTACGTGGAATAAATGCTGTACTTTACTTCATCCCAATTAAAACGATACCGTGCAAAAATATACATTATACTCATTTCACCTGAAACGTTAAAAAGTCCATTAAAAACCGTCCGTCCGTCAAAATGAAATCTGTGAAACTCACTGAGGAGAGGGCGGCTGGAAGTGGCATCAACTATAATAGGTTTATTTAGCTCTTTTTACATATACTGTCTTATAATAAATAATTTAAAAACTTAACTAGTAATAATTTCTGTTTATAAATTTAAATAAAGAGTAAGATTGATAAAGAAATATAAAACAAAGTGAAGGTAAAGTGAAGAACAAATAAAATATCAATCTTTATGCTTCACTAACTGTATTCTTTACGTTCTTTTTATACTTGAAAAGGTATTACACTTTTTGGCACAGCCAGAAAAAAACAAGTAATTGTTTTTATCGTGCTAAAATAGACCCGGTTATCATCAGCCTTCATTAGTACTTGTCGTAAAATATTAGGATAAATCTATACATATAATAAAATTGTAACTAAGCCGAATCTGTACATTAAATATTTTTTGGAAAATCTTATAGAATTATTTCAATGTTTATACATTATTACCGATACAGAGGCCGAATCTATAGTTTTTAGAATTTTTGTCTATCTGTCTGTCTGTTACCGCATCACAGAGAAACCACTGGAGGGATTTTGGTAAAATTTGGTAATAGCTGGTTATCCGAGTCAACATATAGGATACTTTTTACCGCGGGAAAATATCTAATTTCTGAGAAAAAATACAAAAACTGCAATATAAGAGTAGACTAATGTGTAAAACCTAAGAATTTGGTTTTTGGTCTGAACGCGGGCGGAGCCACGGACAATGCTAGTAATAAATATAATTTCAGAATTCAGAACATGACACTTCCATAATAATTTTTACACTCCTACGAAAATGCTTTTTCAACTATTCGTACATTTGAACTAAAAATGTATATAGGTATTACGATTGCAAATGAACAAATAAATCTCTGGTAACACATGTAAATATAACATTATTTTATTCAGTTTCAAATTAATCCAATCACACTATTCGATATTCAAATTGAATTATTATAAATATAGAAATATATATATATATATATATATATATATATATATATATATATATATAAGAATATAAATATAGATATTTTCGAAGTCGGCGTGCTTTAATTTGTATCAGCTGGCAATGCAATGGCAATTAGTACTTAAATCAAAACTAGCAATCAAGTTTTTGTTTTGCTTTTTATTTTATTTTTTTGAAGTCGGTTTTTTTATACATATACGGACATAGTAGTAGCTAGTATAATATTATATGTATATATGATCTGTGGTAGTAGCAAAATAAGAAGAAAGTATTTTAAAACTTCAGTAGATGAAAAATCAATCATCCCCTATTTTCTACATTTAGGGGTTGATATTTTTTTAAATTTAAGTGGGATCACTTCGGAAAAAGTTTCTTTCGAACGAAAAAAGAATTTTGCAAATCCGTCTATATACGACGGAGTTATGCCCGAACATACATAAAAAAAATATAAACCTCCTCCTTTTTTGAATTCGCCTTTTTCCCCTTTTTAGTGTAGACAGTAGTAGCAAAGTAAGAATTCTAACGGCTTGTCAAATCAAACAAAATAAGCCCAAACTCAAAGTATCTACTATTAGCCGTTGAAGAGTTCCACCTATCCACCTTCTGGCCTTACCATCAGATCAGGTCAACAATACCGAACCACTGTACTATCAACGGAAATAGAAACACTTGCAAAGCTTCAAGTCAATATGACAATTAGAAGTAGGTTAAATTCATGATTAGCTATTTTTCCACCTTTAAGGGTGGTATTTTTTTTTAATTTAAATGGGACCAGTCTGAAAGTATACACTTTCAAACAACACAAAAATTGTCCAAATCGGTTAATAAATGACGGAGTTCTGAGGTAACAAACATAAAAAAATATACAGTCGAATTGAGAACCTCCTCCTTTTTGAAGTTGGTTGAAAAGCATTTATTCATCTTGTTTTACATATTTATATCTAAAGGAAGTATTTATATGTTCATATAAAATATAATATTGACTGACTAATTAATCTAGAAAAATTACTGCCTTCAATAATATTCATTATTCATATATTCGAGTAGTGCCACTATTGCGTACAATAATTAAAGCTGTCTACGCCAAAGCCATAGAAAACAAGCCATAAACGTTAATTTTACTTAAAAATAGCTAATAAGATAACATGTTGAATTGCTATGACATAATACTTGTAAAGATAAACACTTTATAATAAATTAGTTGTTTTGTTTCCACAGCAGTATTATTCTGTAAGTTTTAAATTTAACTTTAAAGCCGAAACCGCGAACATATTTTATGGTATTTCATACAAAATGCTTGAAGTATGTATTCGCGTATTCAGTTATCGAATCTTTACATAGTATAAAATGAAGTCGCTTCCGTTGTCTGTTCGCTTAGATCTTTTAAACTACTCAACGGATTTTAATGCAGTTTTCAGCAATGGATAGAGTGATTCAAGAGGAAGGTTTATATTATGTATAATACTGTATGTATGTATATTATAATTCAGAAAAGCCGAGAAATTCAAAGATTTGTATTTAATACTAACAGACAGAGTCGCTAGTAAATATATAAAAAATGTTACAGAATAGCACTACAATTGACTCATGTGATAAAAAATCATACACATTGTGTGGGGATTGATCGTCAATAAATTGCATAATAGCGGCCATCATGCCTCACTTTTCTTACATTAATTTTTTGAGAGATTTTGTTATTCAATATCTACTATAACTAAAGTGTAATAATATATACATACATATATATTCATCTTAGGACCTTGATTGATGCAACAATGTAATCTATCCTGGGGTTAGACAATCTGTTATTGTACAATCGTTGTAGAAATGTTAAAACTTGTACTGAAACGTCAAATGTCATCGTTATGTCACAGAATCGTTATATTATGAAATTCTCATATTATATTTCTTCGATTTCTATTTTTTAACGATTGCAGAATGATATTTTGTCTGCCTCCTGAATTAAATGGCCGTTTCACTTAGATTCAATAGCGTAAAACAACATGTTGGGTACATTTTCATAACTTTAACACGCCGTTTATAAATAAATAATCGTTATATAAATAAAACACCTACATGCATCTACCAATCAGTTAACTGTAAACATTTCAGTTTACAGTTTACTGTTCCCTTTTTTTAAGCTTAGTTCGTCTCTCAGTCTGTCTGTCCTACTTTTAAATGGCATGGGATGTTTCCGTACAGAATTTTTTATATTTTTTACTCTGTGGTAGGACACTTACTAATTCTTGTTAATATCTGTATTCGTATATCTATTCTATTTTGATGAAACTTCATTGTAATACGAGTATAGCATTAGAGTAATACATAAGCTACCATTTTTAAGATTTTTTTAACGTTGGGAAATGCATTTACGCACGAGGTGTGGGACTCACCGGCGTAATACAGCCAGTACTACCCACTAAAACCCAACAAAACCTTCCCCCGTCTTAATGGGGCGTCGCAGGATCGCTTACGCATTCAACTACGACGCCCCGACGGCAGGTCTGCCAAAGCAGACCACCACAACCTTGGGGTTGCTCCAAGGTCCACTCTGCTATTAGAGAAATACCAGGAGCAACCCGCATGGTACACTGCCCCCAGAAGAGGGCCACCTCCCACCGCCCACCGAAGTGGGCCACCTCCCTGTGCGTTTCTTAGCTTCACGCCCGGCTGAATTGCCGGGCACTACTGAGCCCCCCCCCCCCCCCACCATGACAAGGTGAACGCACGTTGGGGGGGTCCATTTTTAAGATATAGTAATACATAAATGAACTACGCGGCTTTTTTTATAAATAAAATTAAAAGAGAAATCAAATTATCGATTTAAAACAAGCGACGCAATATTGCCAACCGCTCTCATACAAGTGTTTCATTCAAACTGTCCTTTTTCATTCGTTTGATCCGCACTATTCGAGTGCCGTCAATTATATTGAGCAGATCTGACATGAATCGAGTTACAGCGTAATGCGCTATGTAGGGCGAGAATAAACCGATGAAAATGCTCTGAATATTAGGCAGATTAAATAACTGGCTTATAAAAAATAGTACTTGTTTTCAATTTTATATACCTATAGATATGACTAAACTATATATATATATATATATATATATATATATATATATATATGAAGGCAGTGGTAGCACAGTAGTAACACGCTCGCTTGGTAAACCATGTGAAGCGGATTCAAATCCCGGGTCTCAGACCTGTGATATCATCATGGGCGAATCATTTTCAACATGATTACCATTTGTCTTACGGTGAAGGAAAACATCATGAGGACGCCTATCTGAGAGAACCTAACAAGTTTTCGAAAGACATGCGTAGTCCGCTAACTCGCACTTGGTCAGCGTGGTGGACTATGACCTGATGCTCTTCATACGAAGGAAGGCCAGTACCCGACAGTGGGACGTTAAAAAGGGCTGAATACAAAGTATATGACCTCAGTGGTAATATTATTTTAAACATTTGCATTTCTCTGAAGGTTAACAAGAATTACAAAATGACTTTATATGGAAGGTACTGGCTATAAGATAACTGGGTTTTCAGGTCAACATATAGGATACTTTTTACTGCGTGAAAATATCTCATCTCTGAGAAATCTATACTAAATGTTAAAACGTAGCTAGGGACGAACCCGAACAGAGCGAGGGTGAGTCGCTAGTGTACTATAAAATAGTATAGAAATATAAATTCTGACTTGATAATTAAAAAATCAGACCTTAATATATTTATTTCGTGAACATGAACCCTAAGCTTATTATTCTGTTGGAAATAAAGCGCGCTTCCTGATGACACCGGAAACATTAGCGGCTTTACACGCCTGCGCAGTTTCGCTTTTACAGTAAGCTGAACCTAATTATTGTACAGGTAAACCCAAGCAAACTAATGAAGAAATCTGAATAGACATATACCCATAGGTACATTAGATTACCTATGCAATGTAATTTTATAGTACGTGGCCGAGCGTTATATTAT